CTTAGGATGATAATGATGTGCATGTTTTAGGCTGATGAAAAAGATGATGATCAAGATGGTGAAGATGACAAAGATGTGCATGTTGTTCAGTATGACGAAGATGATGATTTTGATGATACGCAAGATGCGGAGGTTTGCGTTTGTGTTTCAGGCCCTAAACCCTATAAACCTTAAAGCCTGAACCCGCTAGTCCTACTGCTAGTAGGACTGGTACTCGTGATTCTACGGCTTCTGCTACCGCTACTGCTAGTAGGACTGGTACTCGTGATTCTACGGCTTCTGCTACTGCTACTAGTACTGCTACGGCTTCTGTTACTGCTACTGCTAGTAGGACTGCTAGTAGGACTGCTACTGGTACCACCCCTAAACACACCCGAAACGCTCGAAAACAGAGGAAAGTACCAGGCGCCAGGAGGCGCGCATGGGTACTACTACTACTACTACTACTACTACTACTACCACTACTACTACTACTCCTCCTCCTCCTCCTGCTGCTGCTGCTGCTGCTGCTGCTGCTACGGCTGCTACGAGGTTTGACAGGCATTGAATCTGTCAGTTCATGTCAGAAGCATCTACTTCCCGATTACTATGGCTACCATGGTTACTATCCTAGCCGTACTTTGTGCAACTCCATATGGGTGGTTGTCCAAATTAATGTCCCTTTTTGGGTCCTTATTACAATACGGCACCTATTATTTAGGGTACCCCAAAAGGGACCATAATTTTGACAACTACCCATATTTAAAGACTCGAGACTTGCGGAGGACGAGCGAAGCTCCCTCAGCGGCGAGCGGGCTGCGCAGGTCCTTCAGTGCCTTGGAAAGAACATTTTTTAGTGCTCGCAGAGTTTTGAGGGTTTCTTTCGTATAGGAGGGCTTACGGTTTTTGGATCCATAGGTGATCTACAGCTTTTGTGTAAGGTTTCCCCCCAACCCTTTTGAAATCGTTAAGGCCAAGCGCATACGATTCAATTCGTTTTTGAGGGTGTTGAGGAAGCAGTGTTTGCGGTCTTTTGGATTTGGGTTAGGGTTTAGGGTCTCGGGTTTTAGGGTTTAGGGGTTTTGGGTTTCGGGTTTAGGGTTTCGGGTTTAGGGTTTTCGGGTTTTCGGGTTTAGGGTTTCGGGTTTTAGGGTTTAGGGTTTAGGGTTTTCGGGTTTAGGGTTTAGGGTTTTAGGGTTTAGGGTTTAGGGTCTCTACATTAAGTAATTTAGAGAGCTACCCAAATCATTAGAACAGGGCATGGGCATGGGGCGTAATCGACAAAAAACTTCGATAGGACCAGTAT